GGATGTTGGAAAAGTATATCGGGATGTTGCATATGTTGTAATGGATATACACGTATGTTTCAAGTGTATATTCCAAATATTTTATTTGTTCTAGACGAATGTTGCAAGAGTTTTATCTGGATGTTGCAAAAGTAGATCTGGATGTTGCATATAAATGCATGTTGCAAGCATATGTTTTAAGTGTTTTCGGTGTTTCATTCGTATGTTTGCAAGTCTTTCATCTAGATATTGCATATGTTTGCAATAGTTTTCAAATGTTTTTTAGGCTTTTTCACAAGTGTTTGAAACACTTGTTTTAAGTATTTCATTTGTCTTCTTTTGTATATTGCAACTGTTGCATCTGGATGTTTCAAAAACAGATCGAGGTGTTGCATATGGGATGCACGTGGAAAACGGCCAGCAGCTCAGACGACGTCTGGGGTGGCGTGGGACCACTGCTGGTGCGCTCGCTCGCTCCCTGTGCGAGCAGCGTCTAGACGCTAGTGCTCGGATCGGAGGGCGCTAGCAAGTCAAGAACAGGATCGGAGGCTTCGCTTTGAAACGCTGTACCCGAACAAGACGGTTGAAACCCTGTACCCCCACAAGATTGAATCAGAGACCTGAACATTATTGGGGTATTTCGGTGCTAATCACCATGTCCATACCGGCTAGCTGCATCATCTCTGCTTATAGCATTATAATCTGATCAGGAAGCGCATGCACGTGAATGGGAAGATGCGGTGACACCCTAACAGGTGAATGGACACGCATGCAGGCAGAGGCAGACATGCACATAACTTTTCTGAGAAGCAAGTTCAAAAGCTTTAGGCAGTTGCTTAAAAAGCAAACATTTTTTGAAAAAATAGTTTCTGAAAAATGATCTTATTTATAGCTTTTGCCAGTGTTTTTTTTTCCCTTTCAGCTTCTCAGTTCTCACAGAAGCTCAAACAAACACGGCCAATAAGAAGAAATGTTATTTATTTGGTTTAGCAATTAGCATGAAGATCGAGTTGCATGCAGATGCATATACTACTCCCTTTAAAATTTTGGCATATGCGCATGCCACACCCACAAATCGCAGGGATGATGAATCAGGATTCAGGAATCATGAGAGCGTGGGCACGGCGGCTGCCTCCTCCTTGCTCAGTTGCTCTTGGCCTTGGTCCTCTCCCGCTGCTCCAGGAACGGCGCGTCGGCATTGGCCATTGGCGTCGCTGCAGTAGAGGCAGGGGTGCTGCTGGAACCCTGCTTGCCAAGCACCTCCCGGTTGCTCATCGGTGCCACAGCGCCGGGTGCGCCGCCAGCACGGCCTGCAGCGCCCCGCTGAACGCCCTGTATGCCAGGACAGCGGCGCGCATGGCGTGGACGTCGTTGATGCAGCTCGGACTGCGTGCCGGCGTAGTTGCACCCCACCAGGGTGGCCAGCATCTTCTTCTTCCCCGCCTCCATTGCTGTGCTGTCTTCTTCTAGCTCTAGCTCTACCTCTGGTGCGTGTTTCAGTGAGATATATGAGATAAACTTAAGTATATTATCATGAAATGATTATTTATAACTCCACCAGTCTTATGCCATCATTTAAGCTGAATCCAATCAAGAAAGTTGTTGAATTTATGATTATCTTACTATCTTAACAATCCCATCACAACTTCTAGCAACAATCAAGATATAAGTGCAAGCAATCAATCACAATAAGTTTCTGGCATGGTTTTTCTGAGAATAGAATCAGCAACAGGCACACGTTTTCAATCGAAAACAACTTAACAGGAACAACAGTACAAAATCAATGTTCCTGTAATTCAGAAACTAAAATTAATATTCCTGTTTTTGAAGGTGTGAATAGTATTGCAACCTGCGTTCCTGCAACACCATAGAATGTGTGGGGGAACTCTGATCGGACGACTCCAAGTTGATCGCGCACAACATCAAAACTGTGACAGAAGGGTTATTCATTGAGAATGGACAATGTATTGGCCTGAACCCTGAAATTAGGATACAGAGGTAATGAATTGCGCAGACAAATTTTACCTCAAGCAAGACACCCGGTTGCCAGACCTGAAACGAAGCACTAAAGAGGTAACTAACAAATTGGAAAAAGGAACAAATTAGAAACAATTTTTTAAGCAGAAAAGGCAATTCAACTAGGCATAACTTTATGAGGAAGCACAACTAGTTCGGATGCGTGACGTGAGGATTAATTAAGAAAAAAAGAATAGGGTCAGTGATTTCTCCCTCACCTTAGCCGGACCAGAGGCAGTCGCAGGATTAGACGATGACAAGGAAGCTGCAGCTTTCTTCAGCCCGGAAACAGAGCAGAATTAGGTGGAAACTGGAGCACAAAACATACTGAATGGAACAAAGAGCTTTAGTAGTTCATCTGGTAGCTCTTCCCCATGATTCCTTTGATCCATTACTGGACTATTACAGCCTCAACCCAGATAAAGCATCTGAAAGATCAGAATCAAACATTTAGGAAGCATTAAGATCCCTATTGCCATAAGCATTCATCGTTTCTATGTTTGACATGAAGCAATTCTGGATATTTCTGTGATAGCATTGTCTGAATCCATACCTATCCAAAGAGAACCCATGTCAAATGCAGAGTAGTTTGCCATAGCGCCACCACTATGAACTCTGCTCAGTCCAAACTGTCGTTCATCCAAGTCTCATTTACCATTAAACGGCAGGTCAGGTGGTCCAACAGATAAAGATGCAGAATTACCAAAATGTTCCTGAAGCAAAAATATAAAGCCCAAAATTATTTCAAGTGATCACATAACTGAAAAAGAACTATAGAAAAAAAAAGTAATTTGTTGTCCCTTCTATGGAGCATTAGGCAAACAAGAATAAGGCATTTTCTTCCAACAGTTCGCAAAGAAATGAAAAACAAAGTTAAACAAAAGAACATGAATCCATCTTAATTAGAGATAAGAGGCTTTACAAAAAAAATTGGGTAAAAATTAAATCATTAAGCATGCAAACGAAACAGAGAATGTCAGCAGCACAACCAAGGACAGGATACAAGGCAGGTGCTACCAGGACTGGAAAACCCCCACCCCTCCAACCCACCCCATGCGTTGCCCATGTTACCCTTTTTTAGCCCTATATGCGCAGTACCTTGATTAAAGTGTATAACCAACATTAACATGCCAAAAAGTATGGTTTACATATAATATTTCATTATTAAGAGAGCGAGACAATAATATTTCATTATTAAGCACCCTCCTTGTCCCATTCCGAGTTCTGCCCCTGAGCACAGTGGCACCAGAGCAAATAAGAAAGGTTGCATACAGAACAGAAAGTTCAGTTCTAAGCAAATATGGATTGAAGCTAATAGTCCAATTAAATTGACATGTAAAATAATCTGTCTCTACAAATGAAGATAGAAACAGACATTTGCTAAAGTAAAGCCAGATGTTAAGAACCATAATTGTCTAAATAGATGAAAAAGTGAATCTCATGCAACATGGAAGAGAGGAAGAAAATTTTTCCCTTATAAATTATGTATCTTGGTGAGTTATCCAAGCACGCTTGCGTTAAAAAAAAAAGGTTATCCAAGCAAGCCATTCCATCTGATGGTCAGGACTCTGGACATGGCAAGTGGACACACAAAACGTAGTTCAGCACCAACCTAGTGGAAAGGAAAATTCCAGTTCACATTGTAAGCACTGGTTTTAGTATCAGTACAAACACACGAGTTCTAAATTGCAAAGAAATCTTATGATGCGATCATAGGAAAAACTGCTTAGTTTGCAATGTTATAGGGTTTCATAGCCAACAAGTTTCTGCCCAGTAGAAATGGGCAAAATATGCACATAGTAGACAAGTGTCTAGTCATCCAGCTCAATGATCTTCACAACGGATGAATCTACCACTTTTTCTAGTAAATAACGACAAACAGTCATGGGACTTGATCACACCAGAGGCATTGTCGTGGTCAAGAGCAACCATCAGAATCCACTCATTTGTAGTGCTGGTAGATTCTTCCTGAAAGGCACAATGAAGATTGACTAATACCAAGTGACCAGACAATCGCTTGTTAGTTCAGCCAGGAGTAGTCAATCAATTTGCGTCATGCAATGGAAATGCATGAAAACGTGACAAACTAACTTAATATCTGCCCAGTGGGCTAAGATATAATCAGAGCCTAGCTGCAAACGTGCAAGAACAAGCCAAGTAGGATCACCACGTCGAGCCTTATCAGTTAGAGACTTTTATCTCCAAGCCATTATAAAAGTTTCTAATTCCTTCTCTGCCGTACAAAATTTAGCTGCCCCTCCTCAGTCCCTCACGCAAACTTTTCTAGTCCTGTGTGCCACTTCCATCAGTTTAGAGCGTGACGGTCGGTAACGGAGGGATAGAACGACCCTTTTGCCCCCCTGTGTCCAGACGTCAGGGCAGAATTTTCCACTCCTCCGGTGGGACGCGCCCGAGGCCTCCTCCTCCGCCCACCACCGCCAGCCGTAGCTCCCGGATGCGCCACCGCCCGCGCTTGTGCCCGTGCCGGACGACGGGCCGCCTGGCTTCCCGGCCAGCGGCGACCCGCCCACGCCGCCGCTGCCTGGGAGCTCCATCGCGGACGAGGACTTCATGATGGTGCAGAGGCGCGCCCCGCTCGTCGAGGTCCCTCCTCTCGCCGCCCACCAGGCCCAGCCGACCGAGGGGGCCACTGCAACCGCACCCAAGAAGGCGACCAAGCCCAAGAAGCCCCGCAAGCGCGAGCGGGAGGAAGGCACCGATGCCGATGTCGATGCCAGCCCCGACGCAGTGGACGCCGCCGGCGAGCCCAAGAAGAGGAAGAAAAAAGAAGAAGCTTTCCGACCTGGACGGCGCCGGCAAGGCCGCCGCAGTGGTTCAGGACCCCAACGGGCTTGACCTGACGCAGGTACTATCAGACATCCGGAACCTCCCCGCTGGCTCCCTTCCATGGCGCCGACCGCCGCATCTCTGACACCGCTCGCTCCTTCGTCCTCGCGTTCCGCTCAAAATACTACAAGAAGAGCTACGAGAACGACCCACCGGAGATGGGTGGTGGTGCAGCGGCCAAGAAGAAGGAGCCGGCGCCGGCACCCAGGGTCCGTACCCCGTCGCCAACGGCGCTGATGATGAAGTTCCCGCTGAAGAGCACGCTGCCGTCGGTGGCGTCGCTCAAGGCGCGGTTCGCGCGGTTCAGCCCGCTGGACGTGGACGACATCCGCGTGTACTGGAAGTCCCACATGTGCCGCGTCATCTACAGGTTCAAGGCTGACGTGGAGGCCGCGCTCAGGTACGCCGAGGCCAACGCCATGTTCGGGCAGGTAGACACGCAGTACCACCTCCGCGAGGTCGAGTCAGGGGCCGGCCGCGACCCGCCGCTGGCGGCGTCGGCGCCGGAAGCGCCGCCCCCGCAGCAGCAGCAGCGCTCCGAGCTGCGGCTCATGGAGACGACATCGTTCAGGCCTGGAAGCTCCGGGAACGGCGCCCCGCTGCCCATGTCCAGGGCCGCCGGGGCCGTGCCGGCGCGTCTGGCCGTGGGGCAGCAGCAGCAGCCCAAGTCAATCCTGAAGAAGAGCACCGATGAAGGAAACTCTGGGGCCACAAGGGAGGTCTCCCGTGTGAAGTTCATGCTCTGGGACGGCGGCAAGCTCGAGCCGCCCGCGCCGCCGGCGAGCGTTGGCGGCAATGGCGCGGACAGCGGCGTCAAGGCTGCCAAATTCGTGGGGTTCGCTTCTTCCCAGCCTCTGCAGCCGCCCATGCGCCCGGCGCTGCAGCAGCAGCAGCAGGCTCCACGCGCCGCTGTCACGCAGCAGCTCCCGCCCCGGCCGCCTCTGTCGCTGCAGCAACATCTCCCGTACCACCAGCCTCGCGTCGCCGACGGGCATCCACTGGTGTCTCCCCAAGGTCAGCTGCTGGCATACCCGCCACCTCGCGTCCACGGCGAGGGCCCCTCCGCGCTCCCTGGGCAACCGCTGCCGCCACTGCCATACCAGCCTCGCCCCACCGGCTTCCCTGGTGGACAGCAGCAGCAGCAGGTGGGGTACCCGCCTCGCTCCGGCGACAGCCCGCCGCTTCTCGCCGGACAGCAGCAGTTCCCGCCTCGCCCCAGCAACGCGAACGCCGCCGAGGAGGTCCCGGCGTGGAAGAGGGGGGAGAAGGAGTTCAAGGAGGAGGTGTGGAGGCTGATGACGGGAAGTGGAAAATTCTACTCCTGACGCCTGGACACGGGTTTTTTTTTGTTTTTTGAAAAGGGTCGTTCTATCCCTCAGTTATCGGCCGTCACACTCTAAACTGACGGAAGTGACACACAGGTCCAGAAAAGTTTGCGCGAGGAACTGAGGAGGAACAGCCAAAATTTCTATGGTAGAAAAGAAATTAGAAACTTTTATAATGACTGGCTCATAGGTAAAAGTCTCTATCAGTTAACGTTCACCCTAGCCTTCCTCTGTGACCAAGCAGGTCTCTCTCTCTCTCTCTCTCTCTCTCTCTCTCTCTCTCTGATCCACCCAAGCCTATGCATCCCTTCATTGTTTGTACTGCTGGGAACCGCAAGAAAAGGCTTGAAGGGTGAACCGATCCCGATGGCCTCTATCAGATTCAGGGGCAGAAACACCATCTGGTTGCCTTGCCTGCATGTATATTGTTGTTAGATAATAACAATGTTGCGATTTTCAACCTTGGAGCCATAGTTCATACTTCATACAGGGTACTTTCAACTAAGTTTCAGGAAGCCTTATGAGAGAAAGCAGAGTACTTTCGACAAAGTACTACATATATATCATTGAGACTCTAGATTTCATTCTCTTGTTCATGCTGCTACAATAGCAACAGCAGCTACTCGAATATGATGCAGTGAACCTGGAGTTATATTAAGCAATGATCTGAGAGTTTGAAGATGGCTTGGTATGCTTGTATTGAAGGTCATGCACAAAAGTAATGTCAAACACTCAGGTCTTTGCTAAAAGCCTACAACCCCTACTCCAGCCTCCAGATGCCATCATGAAACCAAACTGCTCCAGTTCAGATAAGCAGGATGGTCAGAAGTATTGGCACCATATATGAAGGTCATGATGGGACTTCCAATGCTCGACTCTCTTTATAGACATGGAGCTGCAAGGAATCAATGACATGGATGTCAGGAAAGAGCAAGCCAAAGGAGGATGGTCTAACACAAAAGCTAAGCAGAATTTGAGGTAGTTCGCATGGGCTCCCTCTAATAAAAAGTGAAGGCATAGGAACAGGAGATTGTAGCGAACAAAGAAAACAAGTCATGGGAAATAGACCACAGAAGCATCAGAAAACACTAGTATATATTGGATTTACCTGATCCATGGAACTACAAACAGGAACAGCACACACTGCTCTATCCAGTGGCTCCGTTCGGCTGGCAGAATTTTGGCTGAAACTAGCTGAAAAACACTGTTCTGGCTGAATTGTTATGAGAGAAAAACACTGTTCTGGCTGAAAAAAAGAAGACAAACAAGCCGGATATAGGGTAAGCCGAACGGGGGCAAAAAGGCACCGCTAACAATAGATACTCAGGGGGGAGGCCGAATTTTTTATAATTTGGCCCTTTTTTCGAAAGTTTCTCACAAATAGACCCCTGGCGAAAAGAATTCAGAAAATGGACCCTTAGCTCGGCGCCATTCATGCTGGCGCCGTAAATCTTGGCGTCGAGCTCGGCGCCACGCCGAGGTCCCTGCATTTAACCCCGGCCCATCCTTTCTGCCCGAGCGTTCTTACTCTTCATTCTCCTCCCTCTCGGGTTTTTTCTCTCCCCACTTCACCCTACCTCACGAATCGGCATATTGGACCTTGAAAATCTTGATTTGATCCGTAGATCTTCGAGAGCAAGGTATCCTCGCTCCCCTCTTAGTTTTTTTCGCATCGATTCGGTATATATTAGTCGGATTTTTGAACGTAATAATCGTCATCACTTAGGGTTTCATTCTATCTCTCAATATATGTATTATACAATCGTAGTATGATGTCAAGGCGTGGAAAAGCTAGCAAATGTAGGCGCATGTAGTTATTTTATGGGTTCATTGTTGTGCATCAAATGGGAAACCCTAGGTTTAGGGTTTAATGTTAACAACTTTCGGTTCTTAGAACGAAATTGGCTGTATTGTAGTTATGGTTCTCATTGATATTTATTTCTGAAGTTTTGATTTATGTTTGTTTAATTACATCTATTTTGTTAGATGGAAGAAATGTTTCGGGAGGAATTTTGGCGAAAACGGGTTGTCCTCGAGAATTATACCCCGACGCGTCTAGCAAAGATGCCCCCGTCCCTCCTGACCTCCCTGTCCCAAACTATGACTGTGGTCGTCCGGCCGACGTGTTTCAATCGAGACATCCGGACACAGCGGCTCGTTGCTTCTACACATGCAGTTGTTTTAATGTAAGTAATTGTTTCCACTATCCTTTTTCTTTATTTGTGTATGCTACTAATATTTTGTTCGAATCTCATTGTGTAGGACTATGAGAGGTGCTTTTTCTTTCAGTGGATCGATGGTGCAGACAAGTTTGATCCTAGGTACCTCCATTTCGACGATTGGTTTAGAGGGAGGAATCCACGTGAGCGCTTCAAGCGGTGGGTTCCACCCCCCTAACCCTCCACCAATGACGGCTAAGGAGAAGCACCTAGCCATAGTTAGACGACTCGAGGAACCTCCTCGGTGCAATTGCGGAGATCGAGCTGTGATAAACCCTGAGAATACGTTGGAATTTGTGTGTCCAAACAAGCATTAAGTAAGTGCAAAGTGTATGTGTTGAAATCTTGAGCTATATGTGTTCATGTACTAATGTCTCCTTATTTAGTAGTTCTCAATGGCGAAGTGTCGTTTCAAGGAGTGGTTGTATGGTCTTAAGAACCAATGGCTGGAAGAACCGCGGAAGGTTAAGGAAAAGAAGAAAGAAAGGGTAATCTACAGAGCACCTCCTGTCATGTGCGAATGTGGTGTTAAATCTAACTATAGCCTAGTACCTTCGCGAGCTTGGAATAGGCCATTATTGCGGCCATATGGTTGAGTACAAAGAGGTTCGTTATTTTTGTGGTAAACATGAAATCGTATTTTGTTTCTTTTGGTTAGACATATATGATATAATATTTCTTTTGAACGGAGCACTAGGAAATGCAGGTGGGATCATTACGGTGGTCAAGCTAAGTTCTTGGATGAACTGAAGAAGAGGAAACTAATTGCACGGAAGAGGGGATATGGATCTGACTACGTCAACCTAATCGTTAAACATCACAAAGAAAAGATGCGTCAGTTTGCTAGACAGAGCGGTATTTGTAACCCGATCGATGTTGGGCTTAACAAATGGGGATTGGAGAGACAGATGACGTTAGAGGAAGAGAGGGCAAGCAAGGAGGCAAGGGAGGAGACAAGAGTACAGATGCAGGTCTTGAACGAGCATGTTGCAGCATTATGTGGCAGTGAGTGTTTGAAAGCCTTTTTTTGTTGCCTGATTTTAAATGTAATATAATCGCGTTGCTAACTGATTGCATTTTATACATAAAGGGATTGGTTGCAGCGAGGACCATGCCGCAGAGGTGGCTCGTGCAAGGTATGAGGAGAAGAAGTTAGATGATCATAGATCGTGAGTTGGTCGCACCATTCAATCACCAATTGTGTTGTCTGATGAGGGGGACGAGGATGAGGACGACACTAGGAGACTGAGTGAGCTCATTGCTCTAGCAGAGACGGGCATGCAGGCGCAAGAGGATGACAACGACACTGGCAGACTGAGCGAGCTCATCGCTATAGCAGAGGCGGGCATGCAGGCGCAAGAGGATGACGACGACACTGGCAGACTGAGCGAGCTCATCGCTCTAGCAGAGGTGGGCTTACAGGCGGAGGAGGATGACGACACGTTCTTCACTCAGGCCGCAGCGGCCACAGATGAAGCGGAGGCCGCTTACTACAGGCAACAGGCAGGTCAAAGCAACGTAGGTGAGCCTAGCCACAGCAACAGGGTTGTGGTAGAGGACTGGTACTCGGATGATGAGTTGCTTACTCAGTATGTTTCGGACTGAGGATTTGAAAGTGCATTTGTCCCTATGTCTAGTGTCGGCACGTACTTCTAGTAGTAATATGTTGTGTAATTTGGCATAGTATTGAACTTTTAATTATGTGGTTGTTTTCATTAATTATGGTCTTAATATTCCGCTTAATGATACGGACGTATTGAAATGTGAACATGTGCTGCAAAGAAAACCTAACGACGTACGGCATTATATAAATCAACACACGAAACAGATGAACTGGCATGTGACTACAGAGTTTCCTTCAACTAAACCTAACATGCCTTAGGTAATTAAACCAAACAACAAACACATAGATGTGGTATGTGAAAAAGATAAAGTCATCCTAGTAGTGTGGCCACATAGCAAATTGTGTTGCACCTTCTCCATAGTAGCCTCCCGTTGTTGTTGGTGGTGGTGGCAGGGGTGACGGGGGAGGCCCCTTGTTCTTGTGGTTAGGGCAGGTGCACTATGGATCATTGCAGAGTGCCTCCTGTGGATCAGCACCATTGTTGTTGTCGTCCTGTCCGTCGTCCTTGTAACCGCTGCTAACTTCCCTTTCTAGATCGAAGATACGGTCCTGTAGGTAGTTGATGTACTCCGCATGCGGATAAATAGGTCGAGGATCGACCCACCTACTGTACCCACAGTTTTCTTCGGCCCAGGAAGACTACAATAAGTATGTCGTGTAAGTTATATACAAGAGAAACATATTGAAGAAACAAATAGTAATAGCAATTACCCATGCTCGTGGGCATTTGAAGAAACGACGTCCTCCATCTATTCCCTCGGTGAACATCTGCACTAGGCAGTCCTCAGCATGCATGCATTTTGGCCACTCTTCTTTCCTTTCATCGTATCCTCTAAGTGGTGCCTCTTTGGTGAAATCACTTTTGCTCTCAACTGGGAACCTCTCATAAAGAGCTTTCTCAAAAAAATCGAGACCAAGAGGACCCTCCCACCCCCAGGCAGTTCCCTTCCTCTTTCCTCTCCCTCTGGACGACCCTCCAGACATTGCTACTGCAACGAAAGAAAATGCTGAGGAGTGTTCTTCTTCCTTGTTGGGTGTGTGAATGAGAGGGAGTGAGTGGTTATTTATAGGTTGAGAGGAGGAAACAGCAGGCCTGTCAATGTGCCATGTCAGCGATCCGTGTGCCTCTTCACCTCAGCCCTTAGATGAAACAATCA